CCTGGCACCTGAGTTAGCAACTTACTGGAACAAAATTTTCACGGGCCCGTGCATGTTTACTGAGCACCTGACAGCCGGGTTCGAACTGAATGAAACTTAGGTGGACGGGGTATATCCCCTTAAAATTGCATTCATTTAGTTCGTCAGGTGCTTGAATTATCAATTTACACGAAAAAAATTCGGAGGGCCCCGTATGTGGGTACCACGCTTACCCGGGGGCTAGGTTTGAGCCTACTAATACCCACTTGGGCGGGGAACATTCCCTTAAAATTTCAGCTTTCTAGCTTTTCAGATCCCCGAGTTATGGATTTGTGCGGGAAAAATTTTGGGGGGCCGTACGCGGGTACCACGCTTACCCGCGGGCTGGATTTGAGCCCACTAACAGCCGCTTGGGCGGGGAACATTACCCCAAGATTTCAGCCTTCTAGCTTCTCAGATCCTCGAGTAATGAACTGACACCAAAAAACTTTGGCGGGCCCGTGCGCGGGTACCACGCGGGTTTTGGAGCCAATTCTGGGCATGAGGGCCCGTACGTGCATGTAGGTTATGCCCCCAAAGTTTCAGCCCCGTAGCTTTAGCCGGTCTCGAGATGAAAAATCGGTACAGGCGAACACACAGACACACACACACACACACACACACAGACAACCTCTGGTCAATATGCGTTTTCTGCATTGCATAGCTGCAAAAAACGCATAAAAACAAATTACAAGCTTTATACAGGCACAAATGGTATAATTCCAAAAAAAGCACCGAAAGGTCTTTTTCAGACATAAACTGAACTCAGGAATGAACAGAATCCGGGCTCGTAAAAAGTTCTATCAAAAGGAGTCTCTCCCACGAATAAAAGCGGAGGGTAAACTTGCCTCCGGAAGATTGATGGCGGCATTGGTGGCCAGCTGCCCGTCGTCCTCGATTTCAATCTGACCTGGTCGAAATGCCATTTTGATTTTGAAGAATGCTTCGTTGCAATCAGCCAGTAGATATTTCGCTTTGCGTGAATAGATTCGTACGATGCCGAGCAACAGATGTCCGGTGGTGCGCAAGGCCATTTTCACCTCAAGCAACGTTTATTACTGCGATCCTACTGCTCTTAACTCACTTCATGTAAAATTTTACTACAACTACAGAGGGAGAGGGGATAGGATGATGGATTGAAAGGAA